GGGAAATAGAGATTTTAGTTTCAAAAAATAATATGGCTAATTAGATAATTAATGACTCAGTTTCAAGCTCTTAATTGTATAGGACTAGTTTAAGGAATCGTATAGGCTTTTATAGATGTGAATGCTTTTGTGTGATCTGTGATTTTAACTGTGAGCTCTATGCATTTGTATGCTACAATGCCTGAACTTTTCCTAAACTTCACAAAAGCAACGTATTATTTCTTTGCTGAAAAAATTAACTATCCTACTTATCCTAATGTCTTTTTTAGGAGACAGTCAAAATGGAATTTGGGATCATACAGTGGAGAATAACTACTAATATTGTTCTCCCATCTCAATAAAGTGGGGACATGGCCAAGGAGAACTGCACCACTGTGGCAGAGTTCATTCTCCTTGGATTAGCAGATGTCCCTGAATTGAGAGTCTTCCTCTTCCTGCTGTTTCTTCTCATCTATGGAGTCACAGTTTTGGGCAACTTGGGCATGATTGCACTGATTCAGGTCAGCTCTCGACTTCACACCCCCATGTACTTTTTCCTCAGTCACTTGTCCTTTGTGGATTTCTGTTACTCCACAATCATTCTGCCCAAGATGCTAGCTAATATCTTAAATGAAGACAAAGCCATTTCCTTCCTGGCGTGTGCTGTGCAATTCTACTTGTTTTGCACATGTGTGGTAACTGAGGTCATCCTGCTGTCTGTGATGGCCTATGACCGTTTTGTGGCCATCTGTAACCCACTGCTGTACATCGTCACCATGTCCAACAATCTCTGTGTGGAGCTGGTGTCCTGCTGCTACCTCTGGGGGACTGTGTGTTCACTGATTCACTTGTGTTTAGCTCTTGAGATCCCATCCTATAGGTCAAATGTGATTAACCACTTCTTTTGTGATCTGCCCCCTCTCTTACTTCTTGCTTGTTCTGATGTCACTATGAGTGAACTGTTGCTATACATTGTGGCCAATTTCAATGACATCATCACCATCATGATCATTCTCACCTCTTATTTCTTTATTCTTATCACAATCCTGAGGATGCGCTCTGCAGAGGGAAGATGCAAAGCCTTTTCCACCTGTGCCTCCCACCTCACAGCCATCCTTCTCTTCCATGGAACAATCCTTTTCATTTATTGCCGACCCAGTTCTGGCAACAGTATGGATACTGACAAAGTAGCCACGGTGTTCTACACTGTAGTGATCCCTATGCTGAATCCTCTGATCTATAGCTTGAGAAACAAGGATGTGCAAGAAGCTCTCAGAAAAGTGGTGGGCTCCAAAATATTTTCCTAGAGAATATTTTATTAACAGGATTCAGTGTCCCAAAGTGGAGACTGGTGAAAGGGTACAGCGATGGACTTCAGTGTTGAAGTGTTGAAGTGGAGGTAACAGTCAAGCAGCAGGTAGTTATGAGTGAGTCTTTTTGATTCACTTATCTGTGTGCCTCTTCCATGTACAAGGGTAGGATTCAGCATATCTTGGAATTTACAGATTACTTCTTTGCTGTTATTTATTCAAAATGAATTAATTGAGTATGGTTAATGGACTCAAGATACACATATCGTTTGCTGTAAAAGCTTCATAAGCTTAATGAAGAAATCACAAGAGTCACATTTTATTTCAATATTCATTATGGAAAATATGATTCAATTCCAAGTTGAATTCCTATTATTTTACAATGAAGAACACACCCTTGTCAGATTATGCACAGAATGTGTACATATCCTGTTTGCTATTTCTTGCTTTCTTTATTATTTTTTGTTGTTGTCATTGCAATGTCCAGTGTTTTTGGAATTTCAGAGACTATGATGAAAAATGATGACATTAGTAATAATTATTTCACAGAAATCTTAGAAAAATTATATTACTTGTCATGTGCAATGAGCTTAGAGTAATTCCTGGCATATAACTAGCTCTCTGTCTCTGTCTCTCTGTCTCTCTCTGCATCACTCTGTCTCTCTCATATGTTTTACTATATGTAGTATATTTATATATACTTGCAATCATTTAATAACCATTGTTATGACTGGCAACATTTCTGACTTAGGCCTATTGTTTGACTTTATCTTTCAATTTTTATCTTCATGCTTATTTTACAATATTGTGGATCAAATGACTACTGTGACAGATAAGTGCACTTCTAACCCCTGTTTATGTTTTTGGTTGTATCTTTACTGTTGATGAAATGATCTTTTTCTCCTTTTCTCTATGTGTCTAAACCACATTTCTTCTTTCAATCCTTATTCACACGCACCCTTCAGTATTTGTGAAGGGGGTGAGGAATGGTCGTAAATAACTGAAGTCCATTATATGAATTACTGAATCATAGAAATGTAGATCCAGCATTAAACTTTACTTCTATGTTTTGTCTTGGGTCAAATAAAATGATTTAGTCAAAGCACATAAAATAGCAAGAAAAAGTGTAAAAAGAAACATCTTCTCTATAATAATATGTTTATATTAGACAGGAAACATTATAATGATTTATTCAAAGGATAATTTATTTCTGTGTCAAACTAAAATTTAGGGACAGACTAGAAAAAAAGAATAATTCAAAAAATAGATGTATTTAATGTTCAATGATTTTTAAACTCTTCTCTGTGAGGTTTCTGTTCACTTTGCTCCTACTCCCATTGGGTGTTAATATTCTTCATAATAATTTGCAAGACATTTTACATTTAAAAACATTAACCTCAGAGGATAATATCTGCACAATTTGTTAATGTCTTTTAATTTTATGTATTTGGCATTCTTTTTGATATTTAGTTTACATTTTTTATGTAGTTATACTCAATTATTAGCAAATTAAAAAAGAATGTAGTGAAAATGAATCCTGCTCCATTCTATATTTTATCTCATCGTTGTATGATTTTTATCTTAAATTTTAATAAGTACTAAATTTATTGATTTTTATTTATTTTGCATATGTTTGCTGAATGAATGAAAGCTTACAAAGGAATTGTCCAACTCCCTTTCCCAAACTATATAATAATGTCACAGCACCATTTATTGAGTATCCTTTTCTTCTCTCTTGTATGTAATATATCTAATTTGTAATGAATGTAATATGTCTATTAAATATTAAAAATTAAATATTTTAATAAATTGTGTTCTTAGCATTGATACTTCTACCAGACCCTGGAAAATATCCTACAGTCCTTACTCCATCTTCTTTAGTAAAGAATAAGGGATACATTATTTTATAATGCTTTTTAACATTCAAAATACAAAATTTGTCTATGAGACTGCTGGTATTATGCAAGACTAAAATATACTATCTCTCATCGATTAGCCACTGCCATATTAATACGTTGACAGAACTACATTGTGCCCTTAGCTGTATACAAGAATCCTTGGTGACGGGAGGATGTCCATAAAAAGCAACAAAAATTAAACATCACATTTAATGGGAACAAGATACAGAGTTCCTTGCAAATGTTTTGCTATAACAGTTGATTTATTTAGTAGTCACACTCCAAGAAGTAAATTAACTCAATTATATGACTATTTACTCATACCAGATGAAAAATGGCTTTTGAAAAGAATACTCAATAAACAGAAAAATGTATTGTTCAGAAATTTTAAAAAATTGAATTTAACATTTCAACAAATAACCATTTTAAGATCTGAGAAAATAATTTAAAGGCTAAAATGAACCATATTTTGAAATTTAATTCTCCTCTACCAACTTGTTTAATTCTTTGCTGGTATATGGATTCTAAGCAGAACCATTTTTGAAAATAGAGGAATTAGAGCCTGTTCAGGATATTGTTGCTCTACAGCAGAACATGCTTTACACATTTAAAGCTAATAACGTCTATGTCAGGATTTATTTGTCTGTTTGTTTTGATTTTCTTAGGTCACCAAGGGATGATATTTAGCTGAGGCATATGCAAAACAAACAAGCAAACAGACAAATAACAACAAAAACACTACAAGTTATTCTACTGCTGGTTTTACTTATGTCACTATCTGTCATTTTAGGCAAATCCACTAGACTCTGTCTCCTCAGTCTCATCCCCAGACTTTATTTTGAAAGATAAGACTTCGACAGGAATAAGTCTCATTTTTGTTTTCAAATTTGGGAGGATTATCCCAAGTGGATAGATGAGGACACTGTTCCCAAGTTTCTCAGAAATGCTACCTGTGAAATGTTTCTCACCATGCACTCTTCATCTCTATGTCCATTACCGTTTCATAGTTCAAGTATTGATAAGATTCACCATCACTAAATGTACACCCAGGAAATTAATCTTTACTTGTTCAACTATGAGACAATGATTTCTTAACATTAATTTGTAAGATACATCCCAACTCCGAGATGTTATAGTGGGTGAAAATATGTCTTAAGAAGCAGATGAAATGTAGTAGGGATTCAAATGCTAGAGGTCTTCTCTAGAATTCTGTCAGGGAAAACAAAACAAAATGAACAATTGAGTACATATGGCATCACACATTTTAAATTTAATTTTCATAACTAAAGCAAGGCTTTCCCGTGCATGACCATTTGATCCTTACACTACAAGGCCAAAGGTCAGTGTGGTATAGAAGAAGGATCGGAAGACTAGAAGATAAAATTGAGATCTAGGTTTGGCTGCAGCAATTAATACATAGACTTGAACAGTGAGCACATTCTTACTCCTGATGGGAAGAGCATCAGAGTTAATCCAAATATTTCAGGTAAAGAAAACAAAGCTAAGTGATCTGCTTCAATAATACTTATATATGTATGCATTTATTCATGAGTAGACATAGAAATATGTGAGGAGGATACACGAATGAAAGAGAGATTGTTCATGACATCCTGGAACCCACACTGTAGCTGGAGAGAAACCTGTGTAAATATATAAACGCATAACTACATCCAATTGGTGGTAAAACGAATAATTAAAGGATTATTCACAGAAATTATGACTTTCAAAGAATAATGACTTTTGTCTAGAGAAGTTAGAAACACTTTTTGGAAAGTTTTATGACTCAGCAGTGTTTTGTTGATGAATGAGATAAGTGGTAAGTTAAGGATATCTAGATGAATGAGACATTGTACAAACATGCAGATATGTAAAACAGCATACAGATAGATAGATGATAGACAAAGATAGAGGTAGATAGATAGATATAATTACATATGCAGACAAATTTGTACAGAAAGTGGACAAGGATAAGTCTAGTAGAGAAAATCTGGGAAGAAATTTTAGGAACTTGGATATGCACCTATAAGTGACTATGAGTCACTCAAATTTACAATCCAGGGAACGATTTGCTCATTATAACTTTCAGTTACTTATTTTAATTTCGTTTATGCTTATTTAATGTATCTATTTTTAGAATAAGTGATATATTTCCATGGTCCACTTCTTTTCTCTCTACCATTTGAAAAATGCCTAATACATACTCCACAGATATTTTATGCATATTCAAACAAATATCTAAATGTAAGTTGACTTCCTTTGAAAAGAGTTGTTTTAGTGGCAGTGTGGCAGACAGATATAAGAGAGTGAATCTATAGGCTTAAAGACCAACTTGGAGACTATTGAACAGTACAAGTGTGAAATGATAAAACTAGGATCTAGAGAAATGCCAATGATAGAGAAGGCAGATAAAGAATTTTGCAGCAATGTGGTATTTTAAAGGACTGCAGATTTCTGGATAAAAACTTTATGACAAATTAGAAGAAAAGATGTTATCATACTGTGAACAGTACACAATACATTTGTTTATCCGGTATCCAGGATGTTTGCAATAACTTTAGAAACCCTAATCTGCTGGTTCTAGCCAGATGTAGCTACGTCTTGGGACAGTGAGAAACCAAATTCCCATTTCTAGTCCTATCAGCAATATATATGAGGTGATCCTCTGCTCCTAATACCATTAGCAGGATCATAACAATTATTCTAATTATAATTGAGGGACCTGAGCAGGTCCCACTCCTTCAGTGTACTTAGTGTAACTGGGAGCAGTTAAGCCTTACATAGACCAGGGACACGGTAGATACTTAAGAAATATTTCTCGAAAGACAAATACTGCAAGATCTCACTTGTATGTGCAATCTAAAACAAACTTGTAGAAGCAGAAAGTAGAATGGTGGTTGTCAGCAGCTAAGGAGGGAGAAATGGAGACATATTGGTCAAGGGGTACAAAGTTTCAGTTATGCAAGCTGAAAAAATTCTGAAGATCTAATGGATAGCACGGTGATTAAAGTTAACAATATTTTACTGTATACTTGAAACTTGCTAAGAGGATAGAATCCAGGTAGTCTCACCAAAAAAGGAAGAAAATAGTAATTTGAAGTAAAGGATATGTTAATTAGCTTGATTGTGGTGATTATTTCACAATGTATATGTATATCAGAACATCAGGTTGTACTCCTTAAATACATATAATTTTTATTTGTCAATTATACCTCAAAAAGCTAGAAAAATTGAAGAAAATAAACAATGTACTAAAAAAGAGAAAAATATTTGTCAAGTAAATAAAAAAGACAACTTCTGCTATGATTTGTTATACAAAAATTTGGGGAGACTATGCGAATTATCATGCAACAGGAAGAGAAGACATTTAAACTTTCAATGAACTTTTATATAAAATGATTCTTAAGCTTAAGTTGTTTTTCTTCAGGTTTTCCAGGAAACCAGAAATACATCAGAAAATAATCGTTAATTTTAATTGCTTAAGTCCTCTGGAGAATAAGGCAAGTAATTTTCTCTACAGTCCTGGTGGGACAGGGAGTGGAAGGAGATATAAGAGTCAGCAACTCCCATAGACTAGCTCTCCAGAGGCAGGAGAGGGCCTGCCTTTTCCACCAGCAGGTGGTTTGTAGCTCAGAGAAAATACGGACATTCTTTTTTCATGTGAGGTATGTAGAAGATGCCTTAGATTCAGTCAGTTCCTCGTAGGAAAAATCATTTGGAGAAACTTTTCAGCCAACTGTAAACATTAAGTATCTGGAACAGGAAGTACCTCTGTTTACAGAGCTTTGTCTGGGGAACCTGGCTTAGCTGAGCTCCTCCATAGCAGTGTCTGGAATAACTGTTTCCTGAAAGTGGGGGAATAGAAGGGCCCTGAAGGTTTTCAGTTATATGTCCGTGAGCTTTTGTGATTTTTTTGGAAATGCTGTGCATGGGAGAATAAGAGGTATTTAAATAAAATAGAATTGAAAGAAATAAAATGAACCTTCTGGAGAACTATAATAAACAGGACTTACTCTAAATAAGATTTTAGACGGTGAAAAAAGAATACTGGCTCACAAGGGAAAAAAGAGAAAAAAAGGGAAGAAAGGATAAGGAAGAAGGTTTTAAATACCACACTTCACAGATTCAAAAATAAAGCAAATTGTTTAATCCATAAAATAACATCATTTGACCGATAAGGAACCATGATATTTAATTTGCATATTAGTTT